AACTTAATGTTAAAATAATCCTACATAATATAATGGATTCTAATACATTTAACTGTTCTTAAAAAGAATATAGTAAAATAAAAATTAAAAGGAAAATATTTCAAATCGTAGTTAAATAAAAAAGTATTGGAAAAAAATCTTTAATTTTAAAAGATGACGTTGAAAATTTTTTACCGTTTTTTTTTTTTTTTTTTTTTTTTTTTTTTTTTAAATTCAGACGACATCCATTCAACTGACGTCAGGTTTCAGTGTAAAATACATCCTCACCCCTTACCAAAATGTAGCTAATAACTGATACAATGATACTGTCATAAGGAAAATCTAGACACCCCGTGTTCAATTTGAGTAGAATATTCTGTAACCATGGAAACGTGATTTTAGCTGTGTATTTAAAACCCGGTAAATTTTAAAAGTTACTCCAAAATTCGCTTGAAGATGAAATAGAACTAATGCTTTTAATTTATTTGCAAAAATAAAATTAGGGGTTTTAGCTTCTATTTTGAAACATGGTTGGAACTGTGTAGCGAAAAATAACCATATTTTAAATCAATTAATTTATAATATTAATGCTCTGTAAATTTACATTGAGCACTATTTTGTAAAAATAAAATATCTATAAGAACACCGGATTTTATATCTTACTGTTCTTCTTTTTTTATATATATATATATATATATATATATATATATATATATATATGAAATGTGACCTAAAGACTCTTCTTGGACTTAATATTGATGACTCGCTGAAGAAGGGTGATTTTGGAACGTTTCAACAATAATGATCAGAATTGAATTTAACATTTCAACAAAAAGGTGCGTCATTAGAACGGGAGAAATAATATATGTCCCCGAGCTATTAGGACGCCAACATACTTGCAATATTTGTGGGACAGTCATCCTCTCGGCAGCGGGTTTATCCAGTCACCTGAAATCACACCAGAGATGTCAAGAGCAAACTCCTGTGAAGGGGAAAACCTACCAGTATGACCTGCAGTTAACTCGTGCGAGATTTGTAACTAGGCTTCTAAATCTATTGCATGGCTCAAAACATAACATGATTGTACACAGGGATAAAACAGTTTTCAACATAGGTAACACAAGCAAAACTCTCTGATTGTCACGTGTGTACGAGAGGTTGTAAAAGTGAATCTGGCCTTAAGAATCAATTACAAGACCATACCAAAACGTAAGTCAGATATAAATGTTGGAAATAATGAAATTCTGAACTTAAAAAAAACACAAAAAACTACTAAGTGACGAGGTTTTCTTATGCATAGTAGTGACAAACATCATCATGTGCGCATATATATACATGCATATATATATATATATATATATATATATATATATATATATATATATATATATATATATATATATAGTTCTTAATACTATAAAAGTTATAGCTAGAGGGTGAACGTGTTTTAGTATACATCAACGTTCTTCTTAATAATAAAGTTAATATCTACCGACTAATGCTTATGGATTAATGTATTTTTAAACAAGGATATTCATGTATACCAACTAAAGATTATTTTCCTCCTCTTTTTCAATCTGACCACGGGAAGCTGTCAAATGAAACCAGTGCCTAATTCCTCTAATAAAACATGTACGCCAATCGTCGGGTCACTTCGTAGTCTACATAAGACAAGTTTATTTTCCTACCCAACAAGCTTAACAATAATATATATATATATATATATATATATATATATATATATATATATATGTGTGTGTGGGGGGTGTATGTGACCCCGTTCAAAATTATAGATAAATTCAATAGATTTAATTAATATCCTTGATAACTAAATTTGTGCAAAAAAGTAAGTTCTAATTTGAATTTCCCACATTAGCATTTATTAACAAATAAGCGACGTTATGTCAAACGCTTTTAAGGCTCTGAAATCTCAGACAATTTTGTCTCTTGTCTTCTACGAAGATAGCACAAGAAGAGGATTAACAATATTTTCCCTGCCAAAATCACATATCTATAAACTGGCAAAATAATTTATTAACCAATAAACTTCTGAGTTTAGTAAATCTAACATTTAGCTTCCAGGATTTTTTTTCTACCGGAAGCCTATTTTTTCTATTATAACTTAAAAGATCGCGTAAAGTTTATTTTGCTGCCTCTCGGTAAAACTTTGACTTTGTTGTTGTGTACTCCACTACTGATTACTTTAATATTCGTATAATTAACTCAACATTTGATATATTTTTCTAGTCACTTTTTGAAAAAGACTCGCGAATTTCAAAGTAAATTAAGCAAACCAAAAAGGTATGAACGGAGTTAGACTAACAAAATTATCAGAATCAGCAATAGCACAACTTTCTTTTGCTGACTGCTGGAAAATTTCACGCATTCATGAATTAATGTAAGTATGTAACTCTAGTTAACTATAAATTTATGTTTTTCTATCATACTAATGCAAATAATTCTCTTGTGTTTTAAAATAAACCAAACTATTTTTTGTGGGACATTGTTTTGTGAGGATCTTTGTAATTCGTCTCCTTCAATTTGAAAGAAAACAAAAACACAATAATAAAATTTATCTAAATTTGTAGAGTCATATTTGAAGTTTCTTGGCATCTATCTAAACTGTCAGCTGTATAAAAACACTTTCTATGATTTTGGATTTTTATTGAAATTTCTAAAACACATTATATATGGAGATGGCTCACATAGATGTTATTAAAACTATTATAATAATAATTAATTATTACTATCTATCTATCGCAGTCAGTCCATATCTATATATTTCTTTGCCTATTTCACTTTGTGTCACTGTATATCACTCCGTCTCAACCTGTCCATATCTATTTCTGCCTGTTAATATCTATCTATCTATCTATCTATCTATCTATCTATCTATCTATCGTGTGTGTAGATAGACAGATAGACACATATAGAGAAAGACAGAAGAAGAGAGGCTATAATTATTTTGTACATTTTGGAATTTATTTTGGTAGAATCCTGTCTTTATTAGTTAAATCATCTATCATTTAAAAACGTCATTTTCACAAGCGTTTTCTGATGACAATACATTCTTGTTGAATATCGCAGGCATTAACTTATCCAGTGGAGCAATGAAAAGCTCAGTTATGCTAATATCTTCTTCAAAACAGGCAGGTATTAGCCGATAACAATAAAAGCTTTCGCAAACTACTTGTCACTGTTCATCTTACTAAAGTCAATCAATCAACAATATGGTTTCTTTTTTTTTTTACCAATATTCGGAGGATGCTTTTATGATGATTGCTTCAGCCTTCTCTTTGATGAGCTCGACTTAACATTTCCGGTGAAACGGCCCTGTCAGTGGAACGTTTTTAGCTTTTTTCTTCTCACTTCAAGCCAATCAGCAACTCTTTATTTCTTACTCAAAATTGTTTCATGTTATTTGCGACGATATATACCGGATATGTTTGCATCATTCCTATTCCGTTTTCTTTTAAACATTTTTTTATATTTTCTCCTTTTTTTAAGATTGTTAAACAGCCCACTCTTTGACCCGTTGGTCTTTATACAGTGATATTGGAAAGTTTCGCTTACAAGTTGGACGGAAGAAGATGGCGCAGGAAATAATGATATCCGGTTGATGCTGCAATCGAAAATATCGGCACAAACAGTACAAAACTAACGAAACAAACTGAGAATGTTTATTTTCAATTTTTGTTTTCATGTTTCTAAAAGATTAGCTTTTGTTAGGTTAAGGGAAACGTGGATAGTTTAAGAGTTATCGACACGGAAAATGGTTTCGGTGTGCCAAGTTCAATTACCTCTCGATTCTGTTTGTTTCACCCCATGAAATTGCATGAAACCAAATTTATCCAGCTATGGGTTAAATAATAGGCTAGTCTGGACTTATATAGTCTTAGCAACCAGTCTGGGAGAAAGAACACTCTGAATTCAAAACTAGTCTGAAGATATATCGAAGACATATCACTACTCCTCAGGGTTATTTACATGTGTGGAACCCCCCTTAAACATTGTATAAAAATTCAATAGATTTAAGTATCATCACTAAAAAATATCACTTCTGTGCAAAAAAAGGCTCACGCAGAAATCGATTCATTTTTGGGCAAATCATAGGTTACAAATTCAAATTTCTACATAAGAATTTATTAACCAATCAGCGATATTATCACAAACGCTAGCAAGTCTTTCAAATTTTAGACGAGGTGTTTTCTACTACGAAATTTGACAGATCACCCCAGAAAATGATTAATGACACTTCCCTCCAAAAATAGATATTGAAATATATATATATATTATATTTTATTAACCAATACATTTCTCAGTTCAATAAATCTAATTTTTATTTTCTTAATCCTATTTTTTCGTATAAATATCGTTGTATGAATTCACAAAATCAGTTTTCAGTTTTTCCGTAAATAATTGACCCTGCCTCTATTGCGATAAATATTATTCACACATTATTGAGTTTAAGTATATTCTAGCAACATCCTCCGAAATCTTAACTAAATTATACAACAAGATAAACAAACGAATATTAGCAATGGTAATAGCAGCGGTCATCGGTGACCGCTAGAAAATTACACGTATACTTAAAACAACGCAAATATCTGACTCTTTCATTATGTAGTCACATACAGATTTTCACTCATACTAATGCAATTAATTTCTGTTATGCTGTAAAAAACAGAATATTTTCACTGAACTTTCCGAGGAATTTGTAACGCGTTTTTTTCAACTTGAAGGAAACAAATATTGCTTTTATACTCAATAATAAAATTTATTTAAATTTGTAGAGCTGTGTTTGATGGTTATTTCATTTCTTCGCCTTTCGTACAATTTTTTTCTGTACCCATGTGTTGCTATTATGATCTTACTGGTTATAACGACCCATATGTAGTGCATAAGGATGGAATTCACAGATTATGGGATTTGCGATTTGAGACGGGTGAGGTTAGGGAGAAGATAAATAGCCCTTGTATTACAGTATTTACCGCAGTAGCACAAAATATGAAAACGAAGGCTTACGCCTATATCAGGGTGAAACACAGGCTCACATATGATCACCGAAGTTAAGCAACGTCGGTCCTAGTCGGTACCTAAATGTGTGACCGTTTGGGAATACAAGATGTTATAAAGTTGGATGTGCGGATGGTGTAATGGAGTATGGCTCGGAATTGCTAATCGGAAAGCCGGGTTTCAATTTCCCGTTGGGTTTGTTATATTCACTGACGCGAAAAGACACGTCTTCTCCCCCTAGCTATGGGGCAATTACTATGATTTGTCTCACTAAACCATCAATATCTAAAAAAAAAAAAAAAAATCTTACGCCCTAAAAATATTTTATTGCGTTAAATAAACTGCAAATTATTGAAAAGCCGTAGAAAACGGATTAATCTATCATGAATACGAAGGAGCAGTTTGGATGACGATAATTGCTTAACTTACAACAAATATAATAGGTCAGTAAAAAGAGATTACAAATAAATACTTGGCCCAGTAAAGCTACGTGCTTCCTCCGAAGAATAAATAAAACAAGAGCAAAGTAGAAATCAACTTGCAACTACTTTAGAAAAATGCAACCTATGTAATCCTTAAGGGCTGTGGGATTATTGCCACGGCATTAAATTCACCAAAATTGACACCATATTTAACATTTATTTTAGGATAAAATATTTAGTTTTAAATTAGTTCAGCTGGTTTTCAGAGACACATGAAACATTTAATCGATATGGGTCACTCAAAAACTGTGACATTGAATCAAACATACACTACTATTGTTTTAAATCTATTCATATGTTTGCTTATCAGAAAAGAAAGAATAGAAAGCAACAAAAGAAATTGAACTTCCTGTCGTAAAATCTTTGGGAAAGAGAAAGAAGCTTAGAAGAATATTATATAAAAATACTAACGGAGAGCTCAATCAAAATGAATAAAATGGGAAAGGAATCATCAGAATGAAATATTTTTGCATCTGGGTACAATAACAGAAACGTCGTCAAAAATAAATATATGTCAGCATGCCAAGTTCGCTGTCGCTTAAATACACTTGGGAAAGGTCGGAATCTATCTCTTTTCCAGGAACAAAAAGATATTGGCAGAGCAGACTTGGTTTGATTTGATTTGTTTTACAGCATAAGAAACTTTACACTTTATTTAATGCTGAATTCAGTTGTCTTAAGCGATAAGTAGTCACAGGCCCTGTTTCCATGAGAGTCACAAAAACGTAGACAATGGAACGGCAAACAAGTGGTAACTTATTTGAAAGATTTTACTATTACTAAGGATACGTTTGCCGTATTCTTGGGTTCAACCGAATCGAGACAGTGTGGGGGAAAAGCATCTGCAATTCATAAACACCTGCTTGCTACGGAAGTCATAGCAGCCACACCTAACACGTTATGGTCAACACTTCCCAGGGGAGAATGAAGGTGTAGCAACAACTGCATTCGTAGCATGATAATCTGGCCATTTCTTTAACTGGATGCAATTACTAGAACTCATGTGGGCATGCACTAAAACTTACACGCATGGAAATGTGTCTATAAACTGTAAGGAAATCCGAATGTCAGGAGAAATACGATTTTACAGCTTGTCCTCTTAATGCTGAGATTAATTAATTGATTTTTCTTTTAAGGCTTATCAAAATTTTGCAAATGTTAGAATATATATTTAGATTTCAGAATGTTGTGGGGATAATAATGGTATACTGATGTAATTCATACCTGAAGGGAAAAGATATGGATTCATATCTTTCCCAAGCGTATTTGCCCGTATGGGAATAATATTACTCCGACTGGAGTTGTATCTGAAATCTCCAATTTCAAATTTCGAGCCGTTATATATTACACCACCTGAATTTACAGCGCCTTTTTAACAAGGATTCACATTGCTTAAATTCCGTGATCTTACGAATACAGATGTTTCAACGGTGATATGACCGTACTCATATCCGGATAATGTTGAGAATGATATTGGAAACAATGATATAATTGTTTTCAGTTCAACCCACAATCCTAGACAAATGACGTGAAGATATAAATCCGTAAGAACTTATAAATTTCCCTTGAATAATATTAATATCAACATTTTTTTGTATGCAGAAAGAAGGGCATATTACTTTTTTTATTACTATCCTATATACAGTAAAAGAAAAGCAACGTTTTTAAATGAACAAAAACAAAACCATTAAATTCTAAATAAAATCTTTTATTTTCAAAATTTCTTCCTAAATTAAGCATTCATCAGATTCTACAGGGTATTCCCGAAAACAACAGTTTCCGTTGACCTTACTAACAAAAGATAATATGTTCAAAACATGAAAAAAATTAAAATGAACATTCTCAATTCGTTTCGTTAGTTTTATGCTGTTTGTGATATTTTCTATTGCAGCATCATATCAATCGGACCAAACAATTTAGTAAAAAATATTTTTCTGTTATTTCGTCAATGAAATACTCATTAGGGGAAATGGGTCGACGTGGGAAATCTACAGTAGACCTTTCATTTAAAATCTGGTTCGCAGGATAAATAAAATAAATCAGTCCGTTGTTTAATGGTGCACGTATCGAAAGTTAATGTGGCTTATGAGGATTCTACAATTCAACAATGAATTTTAATTCGTTTATTGAACAATAACTGTCTTCGGCTTTTTTGTCAGCTGCAACAGTCCGCCATCTTGTATAAAAGAAACCGTCGATGTGGCAGGTTTGAAAATATCAAAGTTGATCTTATCTCATTAATCTTAACTTGGTTCTTGCCTTTTATTAAATCTCGTGATCATTTTGACCTGGATTTTAAATGAAGTCGTTTCTGATAATATTTTTTAGAATTAAATTAGTTTCTAAAGCTGCTTGATCGCGTTAAAAGGTAAAAAAAAAGACAAATTTAAAAATAAAGTATCAAGAGAAATTATTTACTGTGAATCAAGCAAAATTCTCAGTGTGAGGCAATCTATCATTGAAAAGCAGATTTTGGAAATAACTTAGTTGATTTTATTCAAATAATTCTTAAATTTATTTTGTACCTTTTATTATATGACATAATATTGCTGGCTTAATTATCAAATAAAATCAATACTGATATATATTTTTTATTGAACGAGAATATTTTTTGCAACACGCTGACGCATGTTGAAATTATCACAATATTTAGTGTTGTTGAAGTTAACAATAAAATATTTTTTATCGAGATTTAAAAACTCTACCTTTCGTTCAGTTTCGCAAATCAATCAATGAAATTTGAATAAACTTATTTGTTTCGGAAAATACGTTGACAAAAACCCTACGTAGCAGTTTAATACTCTCTTTAATTTAATTTAATTTTATAGGACTTTAAGATAAACAATAATAAGATTTCTTATTTTGCTTTTACCTCTTTAACAGCGAAGAAAACATTGGTAGTACTGCTTATTCTTAAGCAGGTAACATACAACTGAATATACGTAAATATTTTATTCTGGAGTCAAATTCCAATTATTTGATATGTTTGGCCTTTGGTGATTTGTTTATAGTTCTCGCAAACGCAGAGTGAACTGGAAATTGGATTTTTGTATATAAATCTTTAAGAAAAGATATGCAAAAAACAATATTGCATTTTTATCGTATAAGTATTTGTTATTTTAATCCTTAAATTGTTTTAAAATTGTGGGGGTATTTTGTATGACAAATAATAAAAGTTTTAATTTTTCAAAAAGATAATGAGAATTTATTGTACTAAGCTATGCAACCTACTAAAACCAACTGTACTTTGCACATCTTTATCTGTTTGTACTACTCCCCAAAATTCGATTTCGATCGCTCTATGTATCTTTAATTAGAGGGTGTGACGGACGGACAGACTAACGGAAGTGACAGAATTTTATATATAGATCAAATTAGATTCTTAAGTGAATGGACCGCTTTATTGTCAAAGATAGAAAGCGTAACCAGTTCACAAATAACAAAGGAATTTGCATCTTGCAAGCTAGAATTGTAATAGTGGACGAAATACTATTTTTTTAATGTATGACTAAGATCTATAAATCATACTTATTATAAAACCCAGGTTGTGCGCGCGCGTGCGTGTGTGTGTGTGTGTGTGTGTCTCTCTTCGTTTATATATTGGATCGGATTTCCTACATTTTTCAGCCGATTTCAACAAAACTTCACAGGACTACGTAAAACTACCTTGCGGTGGTTCTGACAGCGCCAAAAATTAGAAAAACACAATTGTTTTTGCACGAAATCAATTTGTAAACACGATTAAGTCGCCAGAATGAAAGGGGTACAACTCCTATCGAGTTATAACTATTATAAAACCCAGGTTGTGTGTGTGTGTGTGTGTGTGTGTGTGTGTGTGTGTGTGTGTGTGTGTTCGTTTATATATGGGATCGGATTTCCTACATTTTTCAATCGATTTCAACAAAACTTCACTTTTTTTTTTGGCAGGTAGTGTTTCTTATTGTTATGCACATTTTTTTTCTTTATTTTTACATTCAGAATGCTTTAAAAATTTCATTTACAAGACAATTGTTTATAATAAAATTCTATTCAATCGGTAGACTCATAACGATTGAAAGCAATTTTTTTTTGTTTGAATTTTGGTTTGACCAATTCGTAAAAAAAAAAAACTAATTAAGACATGCGTCTGCGTCAACCTTAAACTATAATCTTTGTCAATTTTATTTTTTATTTTTCAGTCTTTATGATGGTCGATACTTGATCTATCTCTCACTGTTACATCCCCGGGCAACGCCGGGCTCTACTGCTAGTTTTATAATGTTATCGTCATCGACGTGGGTCATTATTTCTTGTTGTTTAAATTAATTATTAATTATGAATAATTATTAATTTATTGTTCCTTGGAAAACATTATTCTTCTCATATGTGCCGTGTCGATTCGGAACGATAGCGGTCATAACTCTCCACAATATCCTTTCTATTGTAGCACTTATTAATTTTTGTCTTTGGTACTATTGAAAGCCGCTCCGCCAAACATTAACACATGCTCGTCAGAATTTTTCCGAGGTCTTTCTTGCCTTCAATCTGTCTTGTGAGTATCAAATTTTTCGAGCCTATTTCTTATTATGTCTCCTGGAATTGTTAATGTCTCATCCAGATGTTAAGTTTAACTGTCCTTATTGTTTCTTTTGT